ATTATTTCTTATTACATATTATTATTATTATTATTTATTATTATTTATTATTGTTGTTGTTGTTTAAAAGAAGAAAGTATAATACATACTCCTATTATTGAAATGCACGCCATCGTGTTGGGATTAAATATTTTGACATTATGTCATCCATCATCATTCCTGATTCTATATTGGCCGATCAGGCTAACAAGCTGTATACAGTTAACACAATTGATCCATAGTAAAACCATCCCCCGCTGAACATCATCCCTATACGGAGTCTAGACTTCGGGGCCAGGAAAACGTTGTTTATGAAAGCGGATTATTTACAATATTATTTTTATTTATCTGAAGTAACATAGTAGGCCTACCCTTTCAGCTAACCTTCGGTTAATAGGGCCGGAATATTGATTACTAATTGCAAGCGCACATATGTAAAGCTACTTTATTGTCATAGAATATGCTGTACAATGTATATTGCATATATCGCAGTGGGTTCAATATAGGATTATATATAGGAGTATTAGTGCCCCTGCTAAAACACTTTGATCGGAGCATGCTTTTTAGTTCTAGACTGCGTACGTGATGAGTTTTACTATATTATGTTTGCTTTTGCTCAAGTCCTCCCTGTGTTAATGCTGCACTTAAAGTAGTTTTGTAAAGAATGATTAATTACCATAGCGTTGGTGTGACTGGTGCTGAATCTGCTTGTTGCTGATAAAAAAATATACAATATAATTGTAGTAAATTAGACACACAGAATACAAATACAATAATTTGAATGAGTAGGCAGGGACACAAAAGCGAACACACTTCATCCATTAAGCTTTCACATTGTTGGCTAAATAAAAATAAAGATAACCAGACAGTGTATTGTTGCTATTAGTTTTTGGAAAAAATTAAATCGACCAGCCACGAAGAACATTGTTTAAAATATTCATCAGAATTATTATTTCGTCATCAGCAAGTTGTATGCATGACGCATCAGTGGATCGACTCAACTTAGGTTTCTGCGATCTCATACCGAGTATCGCAGGAATTTTTATGTTTAATTTTTAGTGTTTCGTATAACAAAATAAGGAATAGGCTACTTAATATTGCAATACAAAGTCAATGGCTAATCACAAATTTTAAATAACAATTTTGGAGCAGATTTATTGTAGTTTCAGTTTTATTTAATTACGTTATTCGTGTTACAGCCAGTGTAGACATGGGTACAGTTCTGAGGAGGGTGGGAGTCCCTAAACGGAAAGGTGAGGATGTGCACATGACTCTGTATTTCACCGAATGGTTTTGTACGTTATTAGGCCTAGAATAGAAGCAATCGTTGTAAAGGGCCTAGGGTAGCACTAGTCGCATGACAAAAAAATAATGAATGCCTAAAAACAACTTTTAAATAGAATGTATGTCACCAATGACTTTTGATAAGACAAATAAATTTTGGAGCACATTTATTATTTTTAATTTATTTCATTACTGTATTCATGTGTTAACACCCCGGACACTATGGTTATTATTGATCTTGACAACGAATATCTAATTAAATATTAAGTATTGAATTGAATACAGTATGAGAAATTTACTGTATAAGTTGGGCTCCTCATCTGCGTCCACGTACTGTTCCACATCGTGCTCGCAAGGTCACAACTCTATTTCTCAGTGTACACAGTTTCATCATGGACAACCCAAGGGCAGGATACTGTATGTTTAACAATGAGCAGGTTCCATATCCTCGGTGTACGGTAAGAATGGCCCGGAAAAATGGCCCCGGAAAAAATGGCCCTGAAAAAAATGGCCCCGGAAAAAATGGCCCTGGTAAAAATGGCCCCATATGACATGTAGGTAAAAATGGCCCCAATAATCAAATTCTGTATTAAAACTGATTTTCTTGAGTCAATATATGCATTTTTGTATCTTAAATAATTTAGTTTTTAATAGGAATCTAACATCAAACAAATTGCCATTTACATTTTACTTTTTGCAAGAATTAATATTCAATGATAAAATATTCAAAGATAAATAAAAAGCCATGAATTACACTTTTTATTTATTTTTTCCATTTAAATGTTAAAAAATAGCAACAACAAAATCAATAAATCAACATAAATCATGCATTTATTAATACTAAAATAATTTAATTGTGGCCAATTTCACGGTAGAGGAATCACAATTTTCCAGAAATTCAATCTGTGTATTGGTAAACCCCACAAACAGTGGGTTAGTATGAACATAAAATTATTATTGTTTTTTTTTTTTAAGAAAAAGAGAGTTCTACAATCATAATTATATGGTTTAGATGGGGTTTGCAGTGTGTTTAGATGTTTGTGTTGTATTTGCAAGTATTTTTTCATAACAAAATCTAAATTTTAACCAAAAAATAGTTATGAGTGTATTTAATTTTCTTATTGATATACCAAGTCAGTCAATCACAATTGAATTGTTTGATTTTCTACAGTGTGTTTTGGGAGGTTTGTGGGATTTACCACTTAATAATACCATAATCACCCTACCCTCACAATCACACGCCATTTTAATTCTTATAGCATAATTGCCATACATAGCTATATATAATTCTAAGTCAGTAGTAGGCACTTTTATTTAGTTAGTGATGAGTAAAAACCAAGTATGCAACTAAATTAGTTGCTTAAATAAATGAATTCCTAATTATTCAGTTTACTAAAAGCAATACTTCTTTGAATAAACTCTAAGCAGACAATTCAATTTAAGTTTGCGAGAAAGTAAGCCTTCCCTTTTCCCATACATGAACTTGTGATTCAAACACACAATTGATCCACATGCTTTAACT